GCAGCGCTTAGCAGAATTTATGGTTTAAGGACGAAACTCATATTTTTCCATTTACGTAAAAATTTACGGAGTTGTCTGTTTTGCTATGGCTATCAAACAAAACATCAAAAAGCCACAGACTTACGAAACTTCCTTTGCATATACTATTTTAAATAATGACAGATCTTCAGCAAGAAAATTAAAATTAAAAAATTCTCAGCAAAAATAAAATAACAATTAAGTATAAAAAAGTAAGCAAGATAATAAAAAAAATACTAACAAATAAAATATAAAAAATAAAGAAAAATAAAATATAATAAAAAATGAAATAATAAATACAATATTAAAAAAGGAAGAAAACTAAAATACAATAATAAAGTAAATAAAATACAATAAAAACCAAATAAAATAAAGGAAAATTAAATACCATAAAAGAAATTAAAATACAATAAAAGCAAATAAGTACAATAAAAAAATATAAATTAAATAAAAAGTACAAATAAAAAAGTAAATTGATAAAACAAAAATACTAAATTAAATAAAAAATACAGAAAATAGAATACAATAAAAAGTCGATTAAAGTACAATAAAAAATTGATTAAAATACAATAAAAAGTTGATTGAAATACAATAAAAGGTTTATTATAATACAAAAAAATAATAATAAAATGAAAAGAAGTAAAAAATAAAATGAAATGAAATAGATACACATTTGTAGTCATAAATAGGCGGTGCCAGGCACAAGCTCTGTAGCGTTTTTTATGTAAAATAGGGTCCTGTATTGATGATATGATGGTGATTGTACTATGTATTTAAATATTAGGCACAAAAAGATTTTAAGTTTTGCTTAAAAAAAAAACTAAAAGCGAATATTTTTTTAGAATTTTCGAATTAAATTTTTTAATCTACATTATTTGTCTCACTTTGAAACAAATATTAATCAACTGATCTTCTCTTTTTTGGGAAAAAGTTCGGTTATTATTTTCCCAATATCCAATGTTTTATTCAAATGAGCCAAAAACAACCGATTTAAAAAAACTTGACCGCCACAAAAGATAGGAATTAATAGATATCGTTCTAGCCATAAAAAAAAACACTAAAATTTATTTAATTTAAAAAAGATATTTGCTTAATAAGAGAGAATTAGATAATGACAACAAAACAAAAAAAAATGATTTTAAAGTTGGAAACAACTTTTTTTAGGCTAAAAATAAACAGACAAGGAGTTTCATAAGCTTCGGTCTACACTGTTTTTATCACTGATCAAAAAAGTAATAAATATTTTCCATCCCTGTTTACTTACCATTGCATGTATGTTTCATATTCAAACTCAATTATCTTCTCAGTTGTTTTGAATATGTTGAAAAATGTGCGTTGTTTAAAAATATTTTTTTATGAAAAAGAAATCATTGCATTAAGATAAACATTTTGAAAGTAACATGTGTGAAAGTTTATTATAAATGTTCAGAAAAAAAACCGTGTAAAAAGCGAAAGAAATACATATGTAACTTATCCTTTAAGTATTTATAATCATTGTTCACAAAAATTTCATATCTGCATACATATTTCATACATACATATCGCACACCGTCTTCAAAAGGGGCACAACTCAAAATTACACGTTTGTCAGAAAATACGAAAAACTATTTCTTTGCACCTGATAATTATATGGGCAAGGGAGACTTCACCTTAGGTTTTTTTTTAACAAATTATAACAAAAATTTGCTCTAGCTTTTGCGGAAAGGTAAATAAACGCTCTGTGTACATTTTTAGCGCATAATTTAAAAAATGCCAAATTTTGAGTTGTGCATCTTTTGAAGATGGTGTGCGATATGTACACTAACGGCCCAAAGTAAAGTATTTGCCCAGCGAATTTTTCATAACATAAGCAAACATTTTTTTCCGCCAGCTTTTTATCAAAATGTGGTTAACACTACAAAAAAAAAAGTACAATTTCTGAACTTTCTGCAAAAATTTTCATGCAGATTTTCAGCTTTTTGATCAAATTTTTTTTCATTCATTTTTTTCCATTTAAAAAATTTTGAGGTTAGTTTGAATGGAAAAAATGCGAAACACCTTCGATTAAAAAAAAACTTCAAACTTGCATAAAATTTAATGAGCTACAAAAAATAAAAATAAAATGTGATTAAAAAGTTTAAAACTTGCATGGAAATTTTATTGATTTTCCCTGAGTTTTGCACAAAGTTTAGAAATTGAACTATTAATTTTTTTTATTTTAGTATTAACAATATTTTCATAAAGACTAGCAGAACAAATTAATATAAAAGCGGTTGTGAAAAATTCTCTGGGTAAATACTTTTGGCCGTGAGTGTATGTACATTTACAATTATACTCAACAAAAACATAAAATTAATACATACATACATATAGTGCAAATGTTTGTCATCAAAAATTATAACTTAAATTGTAAAATGTAAATTGTCTGTGTAATGTGCAATTAGCAAAGCGGTGTAATAAGTGGTATCTGTGCAAATAAGTAATAGCATTAGTTATTGATACTAGTTAATATCTATTGTATGGTAATGCAGACATACCAATTTTTATTTATTTATTTTTTTACCTTTATGTTGAGAGGTAACTAAATTTTATTGCATAAACCCTGTGGGGGCTTATAATTCGATGAGATGTGTCAAAGTAACCAATCAAAAATTTAATTTTTGATTTTTAGTTAGTTACGGTTTGTTTTTATTTCAGCGACGATGTGGGATAGGGCCATTCTATATTAAGGTAACTACAGTGACGAGCAAAACTGTAACATGGTTTAACACTTTTTGTTTCAGCCACCACTATATTTCCAAGTTCTAACGACTTTCATACTTTTGCTGTATATTCTTGTTGGTACATCCCTACTCCCTCTCTCATAATGATTTGAAGTCAATAAAACAAAAATAAAAAAAACAGCAGACAAAAATGTAAATTAAGGCAGATGTTACAGTTTTGCACTCATATATTTTTAAGAGCTTTTTAACAATTTTCACGAAAAAAAGAACTACTAACACAATGTTCAGTACTCTTTTGCCTGTTTCAGTTCCTGGATGTGATTTGGCATACCTTATTTGTATCTTTGTAAAAATTCTGGAGGTATATCCTTAGTTTGCTTTCACAGCTCATGTACTCGATT